CTACTCTCTCTGGAAATTAATGGAAAAAATATCCTCAGGTGAGGATTAACAACAACAAAAATATATATAGTGAATCTGCCTCCTGAGGTGCCACAACAGGCTTTCCAGGGAGGAGAAAGATAATGGTCTTTACTCTTCTTGGCTTGGGCGCAATCACAGGTGTGGACTAACCAGCCCCAGCATCAGACCTCCTTTGAATCTCACTCTGGCACTTACTTGCTGGGTGATCTTGGGAAAATGACTTCACCCTTTTGAGTGTCAGATTCCTCATTTATAAAAGAGGGTCATATTGCCTAATTTGTAGTATTGTTGGAAAGATTAAATAAATTATGTACATCAAGCATGTCAAACTCAAAGGCTAATACCAGCCAAATAAACAAGGTTTATGTTTATGTGGGCTTTAATTTTCATAGAAATGTAGGTTTATTTCAATAGAGACATGGTGAATAGAAAGGACTAAAATAAATGAGTAATCGTTAACATAAAATAATAGAACATTTTAATAAAAATTAATATTTTTTCTTGAACATTAACTTACCCGACACTGAATAACTGCACAAGTTAATAAGTGTAATGCAAATAAACCTATTTTTCTTGTTCTCCAAAAGCAAAATGTTTCCTGTTGTGCACACCAAACAAGTCAGTCCAAGACTAATGACGTGGCAATTGGCTGCTAAAATATTTGCTGCTAGTATTAGGGGAGAGAAATGGTGCCCCGTGGTAAGCACGTAAGGGAAATGAATGCAACATGATTATAGTAATTAGTCATTAGCAATCATTGTAGTTCATCATTAATAATTATGTATAACAGGATATTGTAAAAACTAAGTTACAAAATTTTTATTAAAACATTTCTTACATACCATTATATTGGCTGGGCTGCAAAAATATTTGACAGTAGTCTGGTAACAAAGGTGAAGCTAAGAATTTGGATTATAGTTTGAAGAACGTTATCTGTGAGACAAAGGGAAGACTTAGAATTTATTCAGAGTTGTGAGAATGAGACAGCGGTTATTTTACACATTGAGCCATTTGATCACTAGACTGGAAGACGTTGAGGAACTAGAGGAAGAAGTGGTAGATGATGAAGAAAGGTGAGCGGGTCCTGTCAGGTGGTTCTTGGATGGAAGGGTGAGTGGGGCTCATCCTAGGAATCCCCATCCGTACCACTGAGCGAGCCCCTGGGGGGACATAGGTTTGTGAGGAACGACAGAAAAATCAAATGAAGATGGTGCCAAACAGAAAAGGCTAACTTGGGAACAACAGACATAGTCCATATAAAGTGTCAGATTTAAAAAGAGATCATGCAGACAAGTAAGGAGCCTTTTGCAATGGTGCATTCAGTGAGTCTGAGAGAGCTTTTCAGTCTTCAAGGAATCTCTCCAAGCTGGCTCATCTGAAACATGACAGATGATCTTTTCATTTCCTTGGGCTTTAAAAATGTTTCTAACATTGTCCATTTTATTGTGGTGAAAATATGTAACGGGAAATTTACCCATTATAAACATTTCTGAATGTGCAATTCATTGGCATTCAGGACATGCCCATTATTGTGCAAACTGCACCACTATCCATCTCCAGAACTTCTGCATTTTTTCAAAATGAATGTCTACCAGTTAAACAGTAGCTCCTCATCCCCCTCCATCCCTGATATCCACTATTCTACTTTCTGGTTTTATAAATTTGACTATTCTAGGTTCCTCATATCAGTAGAGTAATATAATATTTGTTCTTTTATGTCTGAAATTTTATCTAGCATAATCCTTTCAAGGTTCACATATGTATCAGAATTTTATGCCATTTCAAGACTGAATAATATTCCATTATAAAAGGATCATGCTTTGTCCATTAATCTATTGATAAATATTGGGGCTGTTTCCACCCCTTGGCTATTGAATGCTATTCTGAATATGAGTGTACAAATATCTTTCAATTATTTGGGATATATTTCTAAAAGTAGATTTTCAGACTATAGGGTAATTAGTTTAATTTTTTGAGGAAATGCCATCCTGTGTTTTAAAGTGACTGCACCATTTTATATTCTCACCAGCAGTTCACAGGAGTTCCATTTTCTCCACATCATCACAAACACTTGTTTGTTTTTTTGTTTGCTTGTTTTTTATCGATAACACCCATCCTAATGGGTGTGAAGTGGTATGTCATTGTGGTTTGACTTGCATTTCTCTAATGATTTTGATGTTGAGCATCTTTAATGTGCTTATGGGCCATTTGTATATCTTCTTTGAAGAACTTTCTACTCAATCCTTAGTACATTTTAAATTTGGGTTGTTTGATTTTTATTGTTGGAAAGTTCTTTACGTAATCTGGATAATTATCCCTTACCATATGTGTGATTTGCAAATATTTTCTTTCATTCTGTTGCCTTCCCAATGTCCTTTGATGCACAAAATTTTTATGATGTACAACTTATATACTTTTTTTTATTGCCTGTGCTTTTGGTTTCATATTCACACATCATTACTAAATCCAATATCATGAGCTTCTCTTATGTTTTTTTTCTAAGAGTTTTATAGTTTTAGAACTTACTTTTAGGTTTTTAATCAATTTTAAATTAGTTATTATATAACAGAAGGTAAGGGTCAAAATTCAGTCTTTGCACCCTGGCTGGTGTGGCTCAGTGGTTGGGCATTGTTCAGTGCACCGAAAGGTTGCCAGCTTGATTCCTGGTCAGAGCATATGCCCTAGTTGTGGGCTCATCCCCTGGTAGGAGGCATGCACAAGGCAGTTGATTGATTTTTCACTCTCACATCAATGTTTTTCTCTGCCTTCCTCCCTCTTCCTCTCTCTCACAAATATATCATTTTTAAAAATCTTTTTTTAAAAAAATCAGTATTTTCATGTGAATATATAGGTGTCCCAGCACCATTTGTGGAAAAGACTGCTCTTTCTCTCATGAGTGTCCTTGGCACCCTTGTTGAAAATCATTTGACTATTTTTGCAAAGGGTCGTTTCTGAGCTATCTTGTTTCATTGTTCTACATGTCTGTCTTTATGCCAGTATTACAGTGGCTTTAAAGCAAGTTTTGAAATCAGGAAGTGTGAGTTCTCTAAATTTCTTCTGTTTTGAGATTGTTTTCACTAATTAGGGATTCAAGCTCCCCACACAAAATTTAAGAATGGGCTTTTCTATTTCTGCAAAAAAAAAAAATCATTAGGATTTTGCTAGAGATTGCATTGAATCTGTAGATAATTTTTGGTAACTTTGACATCTTAATTTGAGTCTCTTAATCTATGAACATTGGATGACTTTCCATTTATTTATGTCATCTTTAAATGTTTTGTAGTTTTTAGTGTACGTGTATTTTGTTATTTTCTTTTAATTCTCACCCAAGGATATTTTTTCCCATTGATTTTTAAAGAGAGTGGAAGGGAGGGGGAGAGACTGAGAGAGAAACATTGATGTGAGAGAGACACACCGATTGGTTGCCTCTTGCATGCAACCTGACTGGGGCCGGGGATCAAGCCTACACCCAAGGCATGCTTTTGACTGGAATTGAACCCAGGACCCATCAATTTGAGGGCCGATGCTCTATACACTGAGCCAAACCAGCCATGGTTAGTGTACATGTATTTTGATTCTTTGGTTATTC